TAAGCGAATGCTGATTCAATTCTATGATATTGCGTCTCAGGAGACAAGACTCTTGCGAGAGAGTGACGATCACCCCAATGGTAAGTTACAGTGAAGCTTCCAGTAATAACCTCGTTCGAAGTTGCTAAATCATGTTACAGTCATTCGTTACTACTCCCAACAAATACGAGATGGATTCCTCTACATCGCGCTGGAGCGTTGTGCCGCATCCCTGGCGGAGATAGTGGAAGGTCCGCACGCGTTCCGCGAACTCGCCAACGCAGGCAAAATGGATTTACCGGGTGTGTTGTACCAAATCACGAATGGTATCAGCCACCTTCACAGCCTTCGCATTGTTCATCGAGATCTGAAGCCACAAAACATTCTTGTGAATATGGGCAAAGATGGCCGACCTCGACTGCTAGTGTCCGATTTCGGCCTTTGTAAGAAGCTGGAAGGAGGGCAATCTTCATTTGGGGCCACGACTGGCAGGGCAGCTGGAACATCCGGATGGCGAGCGCCGGAGCTGTTGCTTGACGATGACGGCCGGGACTTGAACCTGATGGATGCCAGCACACATAGTGGATCTGGGTCCGTTCTGGTGCAAGATGGTATCATGCCTCACAACCGAAGAGCTACCCGTGCCATTGACATCTTCTCTCTTGGTCTGGTCTTCTTCTACGTCCTGACTAACGGCTCCCATCCATTCGACTGCGGTGGCAGGTACATGCGAGAAGTCAACATTCGGAAGGGCAGCTATAATTTGCAGCCTCTGGATGCACTTGGTGACTTCTCGTGTGAAGCCAAAGATCTCATTGGCTCAATGCTTGATGCCGATCCGAAGCGGCGACCAAGTGCTGTTGAAGTCATGTCACATCCCTTCTTCTGGTCTGCTAAGAAGAGACTGTCATTTCTGTGTGATGTGTCTGATCACTTTGAGAAGGAACCTAGAGATCCACCATCTGCCTCGCTTGCCGAGCTGGAGCGACACGGTCCGCAGGTTACAAAGGGTGACTTTTTGCGTATTCTGCCTCGTGACTTTGTTGATTCATTAGGTAAGCAGCGCAAATATACTGGGTCTCGGCTGTTGGATCTGTTACGGGCACTTCGAAACAAGCGCAATCATTACGAGGACATGCCAGACGCCCTGAAGCGCCAGGTTGGCCCCCTTCCGGAGGGCTATCTGAGCTTCTGGACGCTGAGGTTTCCGATGCTACTCCTTATGTGCTGGAACGTGGTCTATAATGTGCAATGGGAAGAGACAGATCGCTTTAGGGAATATTACGAACCAGCAGGTCTGTAGCGTATGTAGACGTATATTGCATGTACATTTGTAAGCAGACATTAGTTGTTTGTTTGAGCGAATGCTATCATCACTGGACCACATACGCGGTATCCTTGAATAAAATTGTGAAGTTATAGAGTCATGTAGTTCAAAGCGCACATACATGCATGCCGTACTTTTCAGATCTTGTATTCCGGCGTTCACCTTACACATTCTTGCGGCGTAGCTTATTCATCAAACCTGTATGTTCTCCACGGCTGGAGGTGGAACTTGTTACGACTCTTCTTCACTCTTAATCAAGATAATGGCCATCAAGGTTGTATTGCGTTTCTTGACCCCCCTCCCCCCCCCCAGCTTGTAATACACTGATGGAGCATCCGCTACACGGGCTTTCGTTTTCTTTACTTTTTTGCCGCAATCCTACAATATGCCAATGCCAATGCCAATACCATGCTATGCTATGCTGTGCCGTATTGCCAAATAATAGCATCTAACCCCACTGAACAAGCACCTTTTTACCCTTCTTCCCTCCCTTCTTCCCCTTCCCTTCCTGCTCCTCTTCTACCGGTGGTGAGCTCGTCTCCGCAGGAGCACCTCCCCATTGAAAATTAGATTCCGCGTGGCCGTAATCCCGACGAACGCTACGACCGGAACCGTATCCGAAGATGGTGGTTGTGGGTTTGGGAGCCGCGGGAAGGGCGGGGAATGCGTCGCCCGAGCGGCTTGCCGATGATGCTACTGCTGCTCGTTGAGGCTGCTGAGAAGAAGATGAGCCTGCCCATGTGGAGCGTGAGGATGATGTGGCCCCAGAAGCCGATGGCAAGGACGGAAAGGCAGAGGATGAGGTTGTTGAGGACTTAACAACGGGTGAAGAAGACATCCAACTTGGTGGCGTTCTGATACTTGCTGGGGTGGGACCACCAAGACGAGTGCTGTTCTTCAGACGGAGGACTCTGTTGGAGTGCTTCTGTACGGGGGCTGCATTAGGAAGTGCCGGATTCGAGGTCGCAGCATGAGCCCATCCGCTTGAGCTGGAGGTAGCACCGTGCATGCCGCCCAGGCCGGGCAGACTGGGGTAATCCTCGTTGATGGCTCGCCAGTCCTGCCATGCCTTGCGAATGCTGTCTGCCTTGGTTTTGTCCTCAAACAGATCCGCTACTTCTCTAACCAAGCTGCCAAGAGCGTTGGATGAAACATCAGCGAAGAGAGTGAAGAAAGCATCGATGAGTTGAGGGGCAGAAAATCCCCCTTGTCGATAGGTGGAGATTTGTTGCCGGAAGGTGCTAATCTTACTGGCGTTGTTGCCGAGCAGGTTCGCTGCTCGTTCTACCACGTAGCTGTGGCGGACGATCCGGGCTCGCTCTTCTGGCGAGAGGTTAGAGGGGTCTGTGATGGTCAGGGAGTCCAAGGATTCGATGATGCCGGTTTGTGCAGCATTTCGTAACGAGGGTGACGAGGGAAAGGAGGGAGAGCCTGTGTTTCGAGCAGTTGGTGTCTGAGTGCCTGATGAGGGTGTTGGACGGGTGTCGGCTGACGATGGTGCTGAGAGCTGTCCACCAAAGGTCCTATTGGAGACGGATTGCGCTGAATGAACGGCCATTTGCCGTTGTAGGGCAAGTTCATCTCTGCGTAAGGGTTGGGAGGAAGTTGGAGGTACGGCATCCTCATTAGGGTCCCTGCCTCTACCGCCTCCCCTGCGACCTCGGCCGCGACCCTCACCATCTCTCTGGCCCCGTCTTTCGTTTTGATACGACTGTCGAATGTCGAACGAGGACATGTCGACGAGTCTTGCATCTCTGCCTACGCCCCTGCCCGCATGGTCACTCAGGTTGTGTGCCTGGAGATCCAACTCGGTATCAAACACGACGAACTTCTTCTCCATGCATTCACTGTTTGAGCAGAGGAAATGATCCCTTTTGAAATGCTGCTCCAAGGCATTGTAGTCTTGGTAATAGTGCGGTGTCCGCGAGTCGCGCCGGTCACAAAGGAAGCACCGTTCGTGCTTCATACGACAATGCTCATACAGCTTGTCGTCGTCGTAGAAGCGCTCGCCGCAAAAGCCACACAGGGGGTGACCTTTGAAGCCTGTCTGATCCGCAGCGCCGGGTTTATCGTCACCGCGTCTCATGTGCTTCTCCAGCTCCTTGTCTGAGAACAGCTCGTGTTCGTGGGTGAAGACCTTTTTGTTGCGGGTACATAGGTCGCACATACGTTTACGATGTACGGACTTGACATGTCGGTGGAGGTCGGGCCATCCCAGACCTGCGAAGTCACAAGAATCATCGGGACAGTTGTATCTCAACAGCAGGACGGTATCGCCGACGATATCTTCGTTTGTATACTTGATTCCAATATTAGAGTCGGTGGTTGTGATGTCCTTTTGGGAGTATTCTTCAAATCGCTTCTCTGCGTTGTCTGTGAAGATGACGAACGGGGCTGGAGTCTTTCCGGCAGTTAGCAGCAAGATTCAGCACACTTTGCAATTTTTGGCCTTTGATGAGAGACGGACGCAATGCAGATTGTCCCCCTGGAGATCAACTTACTCGGCAATGCGCACAGTCCTTGGTCTTGTACAATGCCCTCATCCGCAAACCACAGATATGGCAAGTAGCATGATTGCAGGGAGCAATAGAATGATGCGCAACGGGGTTAGCACAAATAAAGCAGACCTCAGCATCGTCGTCACCCTCATTGTCCGCAGCAGCAGCGGCAGCAGCGGCAGCCTGTGTTTGCTGTTTTAAGATGATGGCCCTAGACGAGGCAACAGCTACATCTTGTCCCGCCGAATTTGTAGGACCAACTGTCTGGGCATTTGCCCCTCGATCCTGACCAGTATTCCCGCCGCCGCCGCCTCTGGCCCGTCGTCCGCGCCCACCACCAGAATTTCCTCTGCCCCGGCCGCGGCCACGTCCTCTGAAACCTTCGCCTCCTCGACCGGATTGAGGTGCTCCCTCCGGCATAGCCACGTACGAGGTCGGGGTCGTTGCCAGTGTGCGAGAAACGATATCGGTTGTAGAGCTGTTTCGTTGGCGAGCGGGTTTCTGGACGACTTGCCCAGGAACCGGAAATGCTTTGTGAGGTATCTTGCTCTTGGTGGAGAATGTGTGCAGTACTGGACCGAGTTCGCTTAAGTGCAGCAGTGATCGCTTGGAACAGAAACTTAGGGAGGCTGTCGATCTTCGGTGTCCGCTCTCTTATTTAACGAGAACGCAGCTGTAGAGTGTCGGATGTGGAGTGCCAGTGATGAGAGTCGACTTGCACATGAGGGAAGAGGCTTTTTGGTAATGTTCGCCTTGTCAGCCGGGACGGCGGATGGTTGATTTTATTGCCATCATCTGCTAGGGTTCCAATTGGAGGGGCAGCAGTTCACACAGGCACGGGCTCGCCGCCCAATAGGTCGAAGCGGCAGACTTTCCAGGCACAGGGTTAGCTGGTTAGCCATCTAGGTCTCACGTCTGGAGGGGCATTCTCGGCAAAGCCACTCAAGAGTCACCTGGAAACCAGTGGCTCCCTCGTCCGCTGAGTCGCCATGAGTCGCTGTGAGTCAGCCCGAGTGACCGCCACTAGGCCCCCCTGGCCGAATGATAATTGGAACCCTAATACCCTGCAGCACAGCCCACTTTACCCCCGGTGAACCAGCCTGGGACAGGCAGTTGCTGCTGCAGCTGCCCCCAAGGTTTTGCGGAAGGATCTTAATGCAATTGAAGCTCGTTTCCACCATGTCCCATCATCGATAGCCGTAATCGTCTAGTGGTTAGGACATCAGTTTGTGGTCTTTAGTATCACTGGAAACCGAGGTTCGATTCCTCGTTACGGCAGATGAATTACTTTTTTTGGTCCTTTTTTTTCTATGATTGACTTTAATTTTTCATCTCTTGTCCAGTGCCTGAATGTTGTACGGCAAACGCTGTTGCTCGTTGGAAGCTGTCGCAGTTTTTTTTTTTTCCCGCTGGCTGTTAAATTGTCTGTCTGCCTTGACCTAATTAATATAAGCGATGGATGGAAAGGTGAAATTCTTGGCTGGATAAATGCGTAATTTGCGGGCCTAACATCATCAAATAATCACCGCCCCTCATCTGTTGTCCGCCGTGCTTATTATTATCCCAATATCTCATACCAGTTACACAAAATTAATAGATATAATCGGAACTGACAGGGCCACTTGTATTTCCACAAGTTCTCGACCTGCTTGTGGCGCAAATCTCAACTTCGTATTCACTTATAGGGTAGCGTGTCAAACTAGACTGCTATGCAACCACGGCATGGCCTTTATTACGAGTACACGATAGCAGCATAGAGTCAAACAAACAGCTTTTCAAAATGCTTGTATAATAATTTTCTTGCCTAACCCTGCCGCGGTCAGATCGTCTCGATCGTCCTCTACACTACCCGTCCACTGCTACCAACTGCTGACTTTCGATTCCCAAGACATAACTTCTGGCTGTAACCTGATGCCTTATCAGACGTTACCCCTTCCATCTCCATCCTCATCCCGTTGCGTCGTCGTCGCCTTAACCCGCGCCTCCTTCCTCCCTGTACTAATACCCTGCCTGCCCTATGCCACCCAAAAGTGAATAGCATCTCTCATCAGTGGGTGCTTCGAAGTGAGACATAGAAGCTCATGCGTAGAAGGAAATCCCCTTCTTAACTTTCCCTCGCCATCCCATGCTGCCGACCCAAGACAATAAGGAAAAAACTAGAGAAAAAGAAAAACGCGTTGGATAAAGATACGTTTGGCAAAAAAGTAGAAAAAAAAAAAAAAAAAAAA